CACACACACACACACACACACACACACACACACACACACACACACACGTGAGAACTGATGGAAGCTGTTTGTCAGCCCGCATCCATTGCAAGCCTCTCTGTCTTGCCCAGGGCAGGCAGGGCTTGCTTTATTCCTGTGCTGTTGCTTCCAAGAATCGTCTCTGAGGCTGAGTGTGGTGGCACATGGCATGCCCATAATCTGGGGAGGTAGAGGCAGGAGGATTGGGAACCTGACTGTGTAAGGAGACCCTGCTTCAGAAACAAAATAAATTCATGTCAGTTGCTTTCTTCTCTGGATTATTTGATGCAAAATATGCTGGGACCTTGTTTTTCCTCTTCATTCTGTCTTTGGAGAAGTTTGAGACATGCTTAGAACATTCTCGCTTTCCCCAGCGTTGACATTTTCCCCTTGTGGAAGACATCTGCTGGGGCTTAAGAATAAGAATCGCCAGCATTGCCCGGAAAGCAACCCTTCTTCCTGTGCTTCCTTTTCAGGTCAGTCTCCAGGTGCTGGTGCCAGCCTTTCCCTGGTGAATGAGGCACAGTATCTTCTGGTGAACACATCAAGTGTTACGGAGCTTCAGCAGCAGCTAAATGCCAGGTTAGACCCTTTCCCTGGGGCCAGGAGACAAGTGTAACAATTTGCTCCTGGGGGGGGGGCTGGTACCTCCCCCCCCTCCGGGGAAGGAAAGATCTGGAAGGTGTTGAGTCCAGATCCTTCAGTTACAGGTAAGAAGTGAGGTCTAGTGAAGTCAGCGAACCCTTTGGGCCAATTCTTGTCTTCCTTCCTTCCTTCCTTCCTTCCTTCCTTCCTTCCTTCCTTCCTTTCTTCCTTCCTCCCCCCCTTCCTCCCTCCCTCCTTCCTTCTAAGTTGTGTGTGCATGTGCACGTGCACATACGTGCATATAGGTATGAAGGAACACATGTATACAAGTGGGTGTGGAGGCTAGATGTCGATCTTAGGTTTCTTTCTCAATCACTCACCTCCTTGTCTTTTGAGGCAGGGTCTCTCGCTGAACCCAGAGCTTGCTAGGTGTGGACTGACTCAGGTCCTCGAGTGTGCACAGCATTTTTGCCATCTGAGCCATTTCCTCAGTTCCTGTTAATGATTCCAAGCGCTCTCAGTTGCTTCCTGTGTCAATCAGCCTACTGTTGCTGTAGCAAATGCTTGGGGCAATCAACTTGCAAAGAGAATGTGTGTTTTCTGGGGTGTTAATCCTGATTGGGGCCCTGTTGCTTTGGGCCTATGGTGGAGTTCGTGGAGTGCATGGTAAGAGAATGGAGAAGAGCTAGGGGCACCTACACTTCCCTTTGAGGACAAGTCTCCAGTGACCCTCGCAGTGGTGTCGCCTCTTAAAGTTTCCACCATTTCTAGCAGAACAATGATGGGGATTCAGCCTCCACCACGGGCCTTTGACAATAGTATCCGCCATGGTCTCTCTTGACACTTTGATGAAACATGCTTAATTATTCTATTTCTAAACCTTGTTTTAATTTGTTACCAGCTCGACCTAATTTCATAGCCCATCTTCCTCCTGTCCCCCGTCTCCTAGGATTCCTGCCCTACTTCACACAAGGAGTGGTTATAAAAGCATCTTGAGTGTAGTTGCAGGCAGGCTTTGTGTGTGAGGTATATCTTCAGACACAGAGAGTGTCCATGGCTCCTCTCTCCCACCTAATGCTCTCTGGAGGGTACAGATACTGTTAAGATACCATCTTAACTCTAGGAAGTTCTAAGCAACTCCTCATTTTTTTTTTTAAGAGGAAACTCAAATTTGGTAACCAGGCAATCAATAAGGGAAGTCATCCATCTGTTCTGTCAGGCCATGATGGGCATTTCTAGCTCCCCCATTTCTAGTTCTCAGGGCAGGGAGGGAGGTACACACTCCTGGGGGTACTGTTGTTTCCATGTGACATGTAGTCTTGTGCATATATGTTCACAGCTTGGATACCTACAAACACAGCTGAAAGGAGGCTTGTACTTGAGATTGGCTGCTGAAGTTTCTAGCCTTTTTACAGAATGCACTATAGGGTTCCCTGGCCATGGACCAGTATTTCTTCCCCAGATGCAGAATTGTGACATGTCTTTGATCTTTCTGGTCTTCTGAATTTTCTCAGCACCAAGGGACCCTTTTATCAAGACATCCAGAACAGGAGAGAATGGGTCTGAGACTTTCTGGGTCTTTAATGTGGAAGATTAGAGAAGACAAGGCTTGCTGTAACCCTGGTTCCCACTGTCTGGTTTAGAGCAAGGCTCATAGGTAAGAGACTCGGAGCCAGATAGATGGGCTCCCCTAATTGCATAGTAACACAATAGTTTTCAGATAAGAAACCTTTCTTTTCACAAAACAAAAAGAAATTTGTGACAATTGTGAGAGGAAATCCAGATTCGAGGGACTGAAAACTGCAATCCTCTGAGGTTGCAGGAGGTGTGTATAAGCTCCCTGCAAGGCTGGGCTTGGATCTCCTGGCCCCTGGCCCCTGGCCCCTGGCTCCTACGTGACCTCTCCCATCCTGAAGGGACTTTACAACCCTCCTATACCAACCCGCTGACTTTCAGCTCTGTCCCCAGAGCATATTCTGCCATTCTCAGTGAATGTCTCCCACCACTTCCCAGCATACACCAAGTATTTGCTGAAGTATGGAAAATGCAAAAAGCCCTAAGCCCATGGCGCACTGAAGTTTTACAAGTGTCTGCATCCAAATGACCCCAGATCAATTAGAGACCACATTCCACTTATACTTCATCTAAGACAATCCTACTGAAGTCATTCTTAATTTAGATTTCCTTCACTGTAGATAGCTTCACTCATTCTTTTAATTTTTTATTTTAAATTTATTTATTTGTGCATTCACTTTACATCTCAATGATAGCCCCCTCCCTCCTCCCTCCCTTTTTCCTTTCCCCTCTCCCCTACTCCTCAGAAAAGGGAAGCTCCTACCCACCAACCCATCCCAGCACATCAAGTTTCATCAGGACTGAGCAACTCCCCTTCCCCTGGGGCCTGGCTAGGCAGCCCCACCAGGGGGAAGTGATCAAAAAGCAGGCAACAGAGCCTGTGTCAGAGACAGCCCCCGAGAGAATATGGGGAGTGACTCTAGCTGAGACTCCTAGTAGCAGGGGTCATAAAGACTGAAGGGGCCATCTTCTAACTAGACAGGACTCCTAGTGGTGGGAGAGGAAACACCAATCTGCCCGCAAAAACTTACCCAAAATTTACCCTGCCTACAAGATGTGCAGGGTAAAGATGGAATAGAGATTGAGGGAATGTCTATCCAATGCCTGGCCCAACTTGAGACCCACCCCATGGGAGAGAGCCAGCCCCTGACAGTATGAAAGACACTCTGCTATTCTTGCAGATGGGAGTCTAGCCTAACAGTCTGCTGACAGGTTCTACCCAGCAGCAGATTGAAACAGATGCTGAGACTCACAGCCAAACACTGGGCAGAGGGCAGGGAGATTTGTGGAAGAATGGGAGGAAGGATAGAAAGACCTGAAGGGGACAGGAGCTTCACAAGAATACCAACAGAACCAACTAACCAGGGCTCAAGGGGCTTGCCAAGACTGAAGCACCAACCAAGTTGCTTGAACAGACTGGACTTAGACTCTCTACACAGATGTAGCTGATGGCAGCTTGATCTTCACATGGTCACACTCATTTTTTGATTTAACATAGTGTGTGCTCCTGTGTTAGGGAAGTTTTAAGAGCTATTTTCAGTGTATTCCTCTGAATGGACTGGGGCAGATGGGAACACAGAAGGTCACTTTGTAGACGCTCATGTTGGTAAACAAAACTTTCATACAGAAATGATAATAAGCTAGGCCTGGTGGTACAGGGCTGGTGCGTGGCTATAATTACAACACTTGGATGCTGAGGCAGGGGGATTGAAGCCATCCTGGGTAATGTAGGGAGATCCTGTCTCATTAAACAACCAAAGAATCTTATTATTTATCTCTCTCTATATTTTAATGATCTGGCCTGCATGAGTATGGGTCTCCGTGCTAAGCAGGTCTTGATAATGTAGCCTGCTGACAGCTCCTTTCCTGTCCACATTCTGTCCCATGTTATAGAACTGGCATTTTCTGGATACTCGTTGTCTTTGCTCTCTGTTCGTCTGGTTTCTTCATCTAAGGCTTACCCACCCTTTGCCTCCTGTGTGCTTTTCCTTGGAGGTGGGACCATATCATAGGGAGGGGCTGTGGCTGCATCACATGGATGGGTGACTCCTGCTATTACACTCATGAGATTAGTTTGTTCTGACCATCCAGGCCTCAGGCCAGAAGAGAACTGGCATAGTCAGGCATGGAGTGCCAATTGTGTGGCATTGTTCCAACAGTGTGAGCGCCTCCCACCTCCTTCCACTTACCCTTCTTGGTCTGCCTAAACAGTGATGAACAAGGAAAAGCGGAGTCATTCTCCATGAAAAATCTCATCTCCCGTTTCCGTGCCAATATCATTACCGAAGGAGCTAGGGCTTTTGAAGAAGAGAAGTGGGATGAGATTTCAATTGGCTCCTTGCATTTCCAGGTAAGTTCTAGGAGGTGGTGAGCATTCCTCAAAGGCTGCCAGCAGCTGTTGATCTCAACTCCAGAACTGGATGGTGGTGGATGACCCTCTCTCTACTTATCGTCTATGGATCATGTTTCGGCTTAAGTCTGTTTTCTGGGAATGCTTGTGGATATGGGAACTTATCCTCCTTAATGACGCTGGGGCTCCCCATACTGTAGAGCTTAAAGGGGAAGAGCCAGAAGCCTTAATGCCTATGACATTGCTGTTGCCACCCCCTCTTCCCTCTTTTATCCCTTTCCCTTGTCTCTCTCCTTATATTACCCTCCTTCTCCCACCTTAGTCTACTTCTCTCTGCCTCCTTCCTTCTCCCTTCTCCTCTCCATCCTCCCCTCTACTTCCTCCTTTTCCTCCTCTTTTTCTGGCTTCTGCCCTTATTGGCAGCCAGGGAAGAGATTATAGTTACAGGCAAAGCCATTGTCATCTGTTCGAAGTCCCCTAGCCTTTGCAGTAGTCTTAAATATGTGAGAAGTAGAAGGAAACCCCAGCCTAATTCTTTATTCCTCACATGACTGACAAACTCATGAGGTCTGCCTTAGAGCTTGCTGATTTCTCTGCCTCTAAGTCTGACCTTCTTTCATCCAGGGACAAGCCAATCTCCTGCCTCAGGCCTTTGCCCTGTTGCCCCTTCTATTTATCATGTTGCTATTGAACCTTGGCTTAGAGACCACCTCATCAGAAGCTGCCCAATAATACAATTTTACTTGGCATGCAGTCTGCATTATCCCCCGAGGGTCCACAGGGTGTAGACCATGTCTCCTTTTTCCCAGCATGCCTCTGGGATGTAAGCCATCCTGACTGTGTCAGTGCACTGTAAGTAACTGTTGGAGGAGGAGGACAGGAAAGATAAGGGTGAGCTGGAGGCTGTAGGATGGCTCACTGCTGAATAACGTGTTCAGCTGTTCAGTGGGTTTGAACCCATCCTAGTAACTGCAGGCGTGTAACCTGGCTGTCACATGACTTCTTGTGTCCTTGCTTTGCTCTTAAGTGGAATACCAGTCTATCGTCCAGAAAAGCACTAACAATTATCTAAATTGCTGCCAGTGTATCTCAGGTCTGGGGTGGGGGATACCACAAAAAGACCTGATGATCTTTCTTATCCTTGAACTCTGTAAGTTCTTTTTGGGAAAGCTACTGTCTTGGAAATCATTTTCTTTTCTCTCCTGTAAGCTTGGTTCTGGTATCGTCTCTCCTGTCATTTTCTTGTATGCTGACCTCCTCTTCCATTCTTGTTCTCCATCACCAAATCTCTGCTGTTTTAAAAACATCTGCTTTGACACAACCTGCCTGGCACCAAGATAGTCATTAAATATTCCCTGGAGGGAGGAACAAAGAGAAGAAGGAGGAAAGAGGAAGGGAAAACTAACCTATGCTGGGATCACTATCAGAGATACATTTGACAACAGCAACACCAGTGTCCCCATACACCCAACCTTCAGGGGCTATAAATAAAAAAGGTACAAAGAACCTTTCTGTGTGACATTTCAGCATGCTCTGCTTTCTATAGGTAACATTTCTAATGTGTAGAAGCAAATTAAAATTAAACTATGCATGCACTTTGGCCCAGTAATTTTATTTTGAAGGAAACTATTGCATTGAAGTACTCACGTATAGGTCGGGGATGTAGCCCGACAGCCAAGCACTTGCCTAGTGTGAGAAAAATCCTGGGTTCAGTCCCCAGGGGAGCAAAACCATTACTACTACCAGCAACACTGAGGCAAATGTGCAAAGATACATGGTTAGAGTAGTTATTGAAGTATTATTATATTGTATTGTGTATTGTATTGTATTACTATGCTTAGTAAGAAGAACGTTGGTTAATTGAATCACACTTCATCTATACAACACAGTCCTGGGTAAACAGTAAACAGGGCAAGATTCGGTTAATTCTGTGTCTTTCTAAAACAATCTGTTGATGCCCTGGGTGCTGCAGCAGTTGCCGTGAGACCGGAGCATCTCGTTGAGAAAGTAGTTTTTCCATGGATCCCCTAGAGTCATCACTACCTAGTGATGATGTTACATCTGTTAGTTTAGTTAGTTATATCTTTAGTTGGCGAAACTGATCCTCAAAAATTCCAAATAGGGACTGGAGAGATGACTTAGTGGTTAAGAGTACTGACTGCTCTTGCAGAGGACCCAGGTTTAATTCCCATCTTAAAAAATAAAAATAAAAATAAAAAAATTCGAGTAGGAGAGTGATATGAGTTAAGACCTTCACTGAAAGTTATCATCATATTGGCTATTTTGTTGTTGCTATTGTCATTGCTGTGACTGAATACCTCACAAGAAGCGACATAAATGAGGAAGGTTTATTGAAGCTCAAAGACGTCCATCATGGAGGGAAGGCACAGTGGTGGGAACGGCTCTCAGATGTGAGGGCTGCTTGCTCACATCTGGGCCAATCAAGAAACAGTGCACAAAAAGCTAGGGCCCGCTATAGGCCCACCCTGACCAACTCACTTCCTCAGAGAGGTTCTGTATCTGAAAGGGGCCACAACTTGCCAAGAAAGCACACCAGGTGGGAACTAAGTATTTAAACATGTGAGCCTGTGTGTGTGTGTATCATAAATTTATAACACAACAGGAACATTAGGAACTGTTTCATGGGTTCAAAGAGCTAAGAACATCAACTCAGAAAGGACAAGCTTTCATCCTAAAAGTTGCAAGGCAAGGAAGATGTGTCAGCAGGAGTGAGGTGGCTGATCACACTGAGTCTGTAGTCAGGAAGTGGAGAGAGAGAGAGAGAGAGAGAGAGAGAGAGAGAGAGAGAGTATGTGCTGGCATGCAACTGGACTTCTCCTTTTAATTCAGTCTGGGACCCCAGCCCATGGAATGGTGGTGACCATATTTAGGTGGGTCACCCCACACCCACTAGCCCAATCTAGAAACGCCCTCCTAGATGTGTCCAGAGTTGAGTCTCCTAGATGAGCCTACCTCCTGTCAAGTCACTGTCTATTTGCCATGACTACAGACCACGACTGTGAGTTTTCCCTCTTGATTCTGCATATGTCTGCATTTGACTTATTTTTGACAAGAATTTATGACAGTTAAATGAGTTTTTAAAGGTACTAATTAAAATAAAACTAGGAATGGCTTAAAGCTGGACATGGTGGCACAAGCCTTTAATCCTAGCACTCTGGAGGCAGAAGCAGGCAGATTTCTGTGAGTTTGAGGCCAGCCTGGTCTACAGAGGGAGCTTCAGGACAGCCAAGGCTACACAGAGAAACTCTGTCTTGAAAAACACAAATTAAATAAAAAAGGAAAGAAAGAGAGAAAGGGCTTAAAAAGGAAATGTGTATACATGTGTGTGTTTATAAAAGAATAGCTGGAAAATGTCCCTCCTACTATCCGAGGAACTGTTTTCTGAGGATCTTTTCAACAAAATGACAAGATTTTGGCCCAAAGTGTTGTTTGTGAGGAGATGCTGGCCTGGGCTTGTGTCTGGAGGCTGCTGTTGGTCCCTGGCATCCCTTCTGCTAGTGCCTTGGGAGACGCCGCTTCCCAGGAGAAGCTAAGAGGCTTCCACGTACTGAGCTGACCTGGCCCCTGGTCTCAGGGTCCTCATCCCAGCACTGAGTGCTTCTGTGTGAGCATGAGGGCATGCAGACCTGGGCTTGGCATCCCTCAAGCAGTGTCTGTCTGTACTCCTGGACAAATCCAGCCAAGTGGCTGGATGGAGAAATGCATTTTAGCTGAGTGTTGCAGCAATCCCCTACTGATCATCTCAGCACTCTCTGCCACTCAAAGGGCCCAGGACTCTGGAGCTCAAAACCACACAGACACTATTTCCAATTGAATGCATGCCCATCAGCTAGAGTGTGCCCTATAGCACAAGCCAAGGGTCAGCTATATTAGTCAGTGCTTCTAATTTTGGTCACCCATACTTACCCACAAAAAATTTGAGGCGCAAGTGGCCAGGAGGAGACCCAGCTCACATGGTGGTCCTAGCTGCTCAGGAGGCCAAGGCAGGAGGATCACTTGAGTTAAGTAAGGCATTCAAAACCAGCCCAGGCAACACTTTTGTGTCTACTGTGTAGAGTAAAAGAACAATCTCATTACTGCTGAGATGCAAACTTTATGTTTTTTCTTCTCGTTAGAAAAGTGATAGCCAAGCGTGGTAGTGCACACCCTTAATCTCAGCGCTCAGGGAGGCAGAGGCAGGCAGGTCTCTGAGTTCAAGGCCAGCCTGGTCTACAGAGGGAGTTCATGACAGTCAGGGTTACACAGAGAAACCATGTCTTGAAAAACCAAAAAAGAAAAAAAGAAAGAAAGAAAAGAAAAGTGACAAAGGCACTTGGCCAATGACTACCTAAGTTCTCTCCTATCACATGACCTATGCCAAGCAGCTGAGTGCTGGTTTCTGTATTGTTGTGTGGGGTATGTAGGTACCACACATTTAATTTGCTTTCTGTTTCAATTACAAAACACAAGTATTTCTCCATCCTTTGTTTAAAATGTATTTTCTTATATTTTATTTAAAGAGCTTTGTGATTTCTTTAAACAGTCTTATGCTAGTAGCTCAGGCCAGCCTCAGACTTTCTGAAGATGAATTTGAATTTCTGATCCTTCTGCCATCACCCTCCGAGTGCTGGGATTTCTGGTGTGTATCACCATGTCTGTTTTATGGTGTGTTAGGGACGGCGCCCAGGGATTCATGCCTGCAGGGCAAACCCTTAGCTCTCTGACCCACGCTCCTTGCTCCTTGTCGATTAGTTTGAATCCCTGTGGGAAGCACCGCACAGATGTGTCATCTTCGATACCTTGCAATGTCTGAGCTACGAGTTTTCTATAATCTCTGTAATACGAGGAAAAATCCCTGCTTATGATTTGGTTTGTACTTCTAGTTCCTTTTTAGGTTAAATTTATGTATACAGTTGGTGCCCAAAAGCTCACAGTGCCCTGGGCCTGGCTCAGTGGTAGTTTCTTTGCAGTTCTGAGATTCTCCCCACATCTAGGGACCATCCAGATTGACTTCCCTTCCTTTCTTCTTCTTCTCCACAGCCCTTATGTAGTAGCCTTTCAGCCAGCAAACCCACTTGGGCCATTTCCGGGACGTGCTGCAAAGAGAGGCCACTTTTGTGGTTAGGGGTTGGCCATATGTATGTGATTCTACCATGCAAAGCGTGATGGCCTCATCACATGTCCCCTCTCCATGCCAGGTTCTGGGACCTTGTCACAGGTGCCAGATGATTTGTATTGACCAGCAAACTGGGCAGCGGAACCAGGATGTTTTCCAGAAGCTTTCTGAGAGTCGGGGGAGGAAGGTAGGTGTGTGTGCCCAACGTGGCACCCCGTTTTAAGATCTTGGCACATGACTGAACTGATAGAGTGCTGAGTAGTTTTCAGCAGCAGGGAGGTGGGTGGGAGGGTGGTTGTTATACTTCCTAAAGCCAGTGCTCTCATCAGGGTCCTGAGCTTGTCTATGGTTCCCTGTTATTTTTCCTGCCATCCAATGTCTCATCCAGTGTTGGTGATTGTTTGATTTTAAGCATTTTAATGCTCAGATATTATTGATGATAGAATAAATATAGAAATAATGGGACTGGGATGTGGCTCAGTGGTAGCTTGCTCAGTCACCTAGCATGCACTGCGGTCTGGTTTCCATCCCCTACAACCTCAAGAAAAAAAAATAATAATAAAAATACTTTTAATAGTGACTAGCCTGGTCACTATTTTCTTCAGCACAGAGACCTCATAATAAGGTATGAGATCTGTGTAGATAGAGGATCTGCCAAGAGGGCTCAGTAAAGTTCATGATACTAAGCCTGGCAACTCATCCTCTCAGGGGTTAAAATGACTCAGCGATGCTATTGTAGATTCTTCATTATAAAAGCTGAGCATTTAGTGTATTGACTCCATTATTTTTTAGCGTTGCATTTTCTGTTAGCACTTTGTGAAGAATTCACTCAGGCTGCATTGAAGCATCCTTGAAGCAGGGTTTGAGGATAACACCTAGACTCCCAAAAGAGCTCAAGGGGCTTCCATGGTTGCACAGAGAGTTTGAGGTCACCCTGGATTACAATGAAGCCCCATCTCAAATAAACAATAAGTAAATAAAGCCGGCAGATAGCTCAGTCTGTAAAGTGAATGCCTTGCAATCTCACAAACCTGTGTTTGGTCCTCAGAGATCTCTCTCTCTCTCTCTCTCACCCAAAAAGAACCAACTGGACACTAGTATACACACTTGTAATCCAGGAGCTAGAAAGACAGAGAAGGGCAGATCCCTGGCGCTCTACAGCCAGCCTGCCCTGCCGGGAGAGCAACAGACCTATGAGAGATGCTGGGCGGGCAGCACCGGAGACACTGCAGCCACGGTGTCCTCTGGTCTTCTGCACACATGTGCACCCGTACACACATGAGCACATGACCCCGCTTTCTGAACACTGGGATTAAAGGTGTGCTACAGATGCTTTTAACTTGTCTTGTGACTGTCACCTCCACCACAGGTGAACTTTGGTGTGTACCTGATGCACTCGTCCTTGGATTTATCTTCTCCATGCTTCCTGTCAGTGGGATCTGAGGTGTTCCCTGTGTTGAAAGAGTGTGGAGCGTCCTGATTTGCCTGCTTCCTGGAAACACCCGAGAGCATTAAAGTTTCTCTCTACAACACTGTCTACCATTATTGAGTCCTGCAACTGGAATTCAGTAGAGCTTGGTCTTAGAAGGAGCCCTGCCCTTTGCCTTTGGAGTTGAGCCTACTCTTACTTGCTGACGTCTCTGCTTGAACCCATTCTTAACCCATGCTCTGACCCGGCTAGTAGAGTGTTGCACAGCCACACCTAAAAGGCTCCCTCATGTATCCAGAGAGTGATCAGTTGTAGTTCAGTTCAATTTTTCATGAGACTCAGGAGATTATTATTATTGTTATTATTATTTTACTTGTGTGAGAGTTGGTTCTCTCTACCATGTAGGTCCTGGCCAGGCATCTTCATGGCCCAGTTTTTTGTTGTTGTTTGTTTTGTTTGTTTATTGAGTACATCTTGACATTGCAAAAAGTCGGCTGGCTGGCAGACAGTAACTGAAGTACTTTGTCTTCCTAGTTTTCAGTCTGTCTATTTCTTAAGTAGCAGAGGTTGAGGCAGTGTCTCATGTCACTCACGTTCACTTGATCTTCCTGTCTTCACCTTCCAAGTGCTGGAATGTACCGCTATATCCAGCTTGGCTTACATATTTTGAAGGTGGGAGGTTTTGTTTTGTTTTGTGTTGTTTGTGTGTGTGTGTGTGTGTGTGTGTGTTCACACTTAAGATTTCCATGTCTTAGTTTTTTAACTTTTGTTTCTAGACTGTGTATCCCTGGCTGGCCTAGAACTCACCATGTAGACCAGGCTGGTCTTGAACCAATGGAAAGCTGTCTACCTTTGGCTCCCAGGTGCTAGGATTATAGGTGCATACCACACCAATTCCTATGTCTTTTTGATGGACTGGGTCTATCTTGATATACAGTATCTTTTTGTCCCTAGTATTTTTTTCAGCTGTCTAAACTGTCATGTTGATACAGACATTTCTGAGAATTATGAGCCTCCTCTCACAAGTAAACACAAATTCTGAAATTCTTGAAAAAGTATCAAATGTAGTCTAACAATTTCGAAAAAGATCATGTATCACGGCTATGTTGAGTTTATTTCAGGCGCACAACGGTGCTTTAATGTTGTAAAACAGTGAGTCTACACATTACACCTAGCTGCCCGGCTGGAGCGTGTGCCTTGCACTCCCAGGTGTGCCCTCTCTTCTCCACATTGTCACACCTGCTAATGCTTGTGAATGAATGACACGAGCAAGCCCTCTGCTACGCGGCTCCCACATCCAACTGTAATTCTCTCAAACACCCTGTGGAGCAGGCGTTGGTAATCAGAGCGCTGAGATGAGCCAATGAAGACAGGAGAAGCAGAACCCAACAGTTCGAACGAGAGCCCTGACCTCTCTCTTCACGCTTGCGGTGAACTGCTGAGTCATAATTGTGGGCTGCATTCTAAGCACGTCAGGTGGATTAAGCCACAGCGGTCTTCCTGAAAATGATTACTGGAACCCCTGCTTGTCCCTGCAGAAGATGGGAAACCCCATCTGTGCCCTCCTTCCTCCAACCCCGCCCACACCGAGAAGCCTCTGAACAAAGGAAAGTCCCAAGAACCCAGTTCCGAATTCCCAGGAGCTGTCGAACTCTCCTCCCCTGATGCTGCCAGCCACCTAAATCCCTGTCTAAATGCTCAGCTCTTGACCACTCTTGTGCACAAACCCAGCTGATGGCCAGGATTCTAGAACTGGTAAGCAGCGGGGCTGAGATCCGCAGAGCCTGAGAGCTGAGGGGTCTGAGAGCGGCAGAGTCCCTGCGTTTGCAGGGGCTGAGATCCGAAGTCCGTGCTCTGATCACTCAAGGAAAATCACTGTTGCTTAATATCTCGAGGTCTTGTTTCAGGTACACGTAAGTGTGATAAGACCGAGCACCTGTAGTCGGGTGTGGTGGCACACGCCTTTACTCCCAGCACTGAGGGAGGCAGAGGCAGGAGGATTGCTCTGAGTTCGAGGCTGGTCTACAAAGTGAGTCCAGGACAGCCACGGCTACACGGAGAAACCCTGTCCTGAAAAAAGAAAAAACCAAACCAAACCAAACCAAACCCAAACCACGTGTGAGTGATTTTTCTCCCCCAGCTTCAACTGCCACTGCATAGCAGGACAAGGTGCGTGAGCCTGGTCGTTCTTGCCAGCCAATCACAATATGGTGCTCTGGATAGCAGTCCAGGGACAGAGTGCATCAAGGAGAGGTGAGCTTAGCCTGGGGGAAGAAAAGGGAAGGCCCATGAGATGGACAGGACAGCTTTAGCTTTAGCTTTCCTGTCCTCCTCTACCCACAACTGGCTCTGGCCTCCAAGGCCTTCAAGCATGTTCCAAAGTGACATTTGCTTTTTGGAGTGACCTTGCCTCAGTTAGACGATGCTTTCAGGACCAATTATGTCTCATTTTGCTCACCTTTATTCTTTATCCATAGTGAAGTTGTGATGCTTCAAATTGTCGATTTGACAGGACCTAGGATTACCTTGGAGACAGCGCCAGAGCACGACTGTGAGGGGTTTTCTAGATGAGGTTAATGGGGGGAGGGTGTCTACCCCAAATGTGGCCAGGGTCCTGGACTGAATAAAATGGAGAAAGTGAGCTGGATACCAGCATCTGTCTCTCTCTTCCTCCAGACGGTGCAATGCGACCAGCTGCCTCGCACTGATGCCACCATTTCCCCCCCCTGTGGCATGGTGGATTTTATACCCTGGAACACTAAACCCAAATAAATGCTCTTTACCTTAACTTGGTTTTGTCATATATTTTGTTACAGCTACAAGGCAGGTAGCTAATACAGAGGTGATGGGTCTCCAGGGAAAGAAAGTACAGGCTTCAGAGATCTAGAGGACCCAGTGACGGACACACTGTTGGAACTGAACCTCCGCTGGGAACTGAGGATCCCCAGGTTGCTGGTAGCAGCCCAAACCTTGATTGGTATGTTTTATTTCAAGCACCTGGGCTCTCTGAGAAGGGCTGAGCCTCTCCTGTTGCCCAGGAAACAGAAGGGATGCCTGCCTGTTGTGCTAGCAGAATTAACCTCTACACAGTTCACCTTACAAATCCCCAAATTAAAATCGTGACAAATAATTCTTGTCTTCCTGAATTGTGACAGAACATCTTTAAGTTTCATCTGAAAGGCGGGGAGAGCGACAGTTCTTGCAACATGAAAGGTGACTTCGCTGTGTGTAGTATTTTAAGTCCACCCTTGTCTACCACCCGGTGGCAGCATTAGGTAAGCACAGAGGTTTTTCTTCCTGGATTCTGAGAACTAGTTCAAACTGGGTTAGCCAATCTCAACAGCTGAGTGACAGACAGTGTGGGCTTTTGGACTCGGAGGAGATTTTTGTTACATGTGGTGGAGTCCTTCAGAAGTTGCTGCCCGAATTATTTGTTTCAGCAATCTATTTAGCTCCAACCATTCTTTTAGGGTCTGTTTTTCTTAGGTTTCTGCTTTGTCATTGTTTTCCTTCAAGGAGGTGCCTTTGAATTGACTGTTTCATCCAGTTTGCCTCCTATCTACCTCTTCCCTTTCTGTGTACGCTACATGTGCTTAAATGTGTGTCTACATAGAGAGTAGGCATGTAGGATTGTGTATCATATATTTGACTATCGAAATGATGGCTGCAGCAGCTCCTCATCTTGGGGTCCTCAGGTCTGTGTGCAAATTTATGGCTTTGCTTTTTATATCTGTGGGAGCAGAGTCTAGTCCCCACTTTCTGAGTCAGGGATCATGGTCTTGGCTGACTTTGTGTCCTTCAAAAGTTGTCAAGAGACACAGTGTGATTTTTGTTGTTGTTGTTGGTATTACACTTATTTATTTTTGTGTGTGCCTGAGAGTGTGGAAGTCAGAGGATACCTTGTGGGAGTTCAGTCTCTTCTTCCACCTTGTGGGTTATAGGGAGACAGCTCAGGTGATAAGGCAAGCAACCTTACCTGCTGAGCTTTGTCACTAGCTGCAGCTCAGACTCTGAGCCCAGGGATCAAAAGCCCATGTAGCGCCTGCTCTTGATTCTTAGAATGTTGCCTCATTCTGTGGAGTTCATATGAAGAGTACTGATCTAGCATTGTATCAGAAGCCACACAGATCAGAACAGAGATGAGCTACCCCAGGTCCTTCACATCAACCAGCTGACAGCCAGCAGACATTAGCAGACATGGCAGGGGGATGATTTTAATTGCCTGGTTCCAGGGATGCTTTCAGATGTTGGCCACAGCAGGAGTGACCCTGCTGAGCTGGGCTGAAATGGTGGCCTACGGAGTCAAGAGCAAATGCAATGGTTCATTATGTGACAGCTGTTAACTTGAAATGTATTTGTATCTGGAATCACAGAGCGGCTGCAATCAAAACCCAAGCCCTGCATGGTGGTTTAAATAAGAACTGTTCCCCCGAGGTTCGTGCATTTGAATGCTTGGCCTCAGTTGGTGGTGCTGTGCTGAGGGGGTGGTGCAGCTCCTAGCAGGTGGAACTTTGCTGGAGGCAGTGTGGTACGGAGGGTGGGCTTTGACAGTTTATAGTCCCACTCCAATTCCATCTCACTCTCATTTTTTTTTCATGAGGGTGGAAATTCATAGGAGGAATTTTCCACATCGAGGAAAACCACAGTTCTTATAAAATTAAAGGTGACCAGCTAACGTCCTGCTTTTGCTGCCTGTTGCCATGAATTTCCTGCCATTTTGGACCCTCCCACTGGAACCATGTGCCAAAATAAACTCTTATTTCTGTAAGTCACTTTTTTTTTTTTATCATGGTATTTCATTGCAGCAACAAAAACTGTACAGCATATGACACTGATTTCAGAAGCAGGCGGCACCTTCCGGCTGGGAAATTGGCCAAGAAGCTGCTGTTGGAGGCTGTTTCAGGAGCTCTTTCAGGGGTAGCCTGACTTCAAAAGGCAAGAGACATGCCCACTCTTCAGTATTGGGCCCTGGGGCGGATTCCAGCACAGACTTTCCACTTAGAGAGCAAGTAGGAGACACATGGTTTTCTGGCACCCTAGTCCCAGGAGATTCCTGCCCTCCCCCCCTTCCTGGGGACAGAGGAGGGTGGTTATACTCACC